GAGAGAGAGAGAGAGGACACACTACAGGAGAGAGGAGACACACAGCTAGTGACATGTAATAGTGGCATATAGATGCATGGAGAGGAAAGGATCTCAGAGCATCATGGGCCCCCCCCCAGCAGCCTAGGCTTGTAGCAGCATAACTACTGGTACGTTTAAATATACTCAGTGGTGCTATGGAAATCAATAAGAGGTTCTCAGGTAGTCTTTCTGTAATTTATTAAACAAATCAGACAATAGCATAAGACAATACCAGTATCTTGATCAAGAGATCACACACTCAGTGCAAAGAGTCAGTGAGTGACCAAGAAGGGAAGTTACAGTCTCGTTTTGCATAACATTGGTCAACTATCATCCCACTAGTTGGAACCAATCAGAAATGTGTCTTAGGTCTGTGGCCTTCATTGTTACGTCTGTGTACTTTCTCGCTGAATGGTGAGAGAGAGACAGAGAGAGTAGCAAGCTGGACCCAGAATGCAGAGTAATGATAAAGGTAAACAGTGTGTTTTTATTACAACTTATAACAAGGTGGGGAAAAAAATAATGATGGAGGATAGCTGGAGAGTAGTGTTGCTGAGTGCCAAACTTGAGCATTGTCTGACAAGTCAGCTGTTAAATGACCCAGGCTGAGTGGTGTCGTAGAGGTTAGCTGCAAGGTGTTGTGTTGAGACGGACGTGGAGCTGGAGTCTCACACAGGTAAGCACAGTAGTCAAAGTTGAGGTAGACAATGAAAACAGTCTTACTTATTCCAAATTAACTGAAGAGATTATGAAAATGACAGATTCCAAGAAAATAATATCCAAGCTATATAAGCTCACATCAAGTACAGATTCAACAATAACAATACCAAAACTCAAATGGGAAAGCGATTTTACTCTCTCCTTCAACTCTGACTTCTGGACAGAAACTTGCAATAACATCTTTTCTACGACTAGCAACATAAACTTACAACTTATACAATACAAGATCATCTATAGGACCCATATTACACAAAGCAAAATGTTTAAAATGGGTTTCACTGACATAGACATCTGCTCACAATGCACTCTAGGTTGCACCAACAATTATTTTCATGCTACTTGGACCTGCCCTGGTTGACAACTATGAGTGAGCCCACAGGGAGGAGGTACAGCACCTGGCTGTGTGGTGCACTGACAATAACCTGCTCCTTAACACTGACAAGACCAAGGAGCTCATTGTGGACTACAGGAGGGGGAAAGGAGGCACACATGATCCCATCCTTATTAACAATGTAGCATACATTCTCTCTTTATTATATTCTTTATATTATTTAACATATTTGTTTCCACTAACTATTTTTAAGTGCCTTTAGGTTCAAGGTTCAAGGATTTTATTGTCAATTTACCATATGTGCAGGACATACAGAAAATTGAAATACCGTTTCTCTATCGCCTAGTATTGGGTGCCATAACATTTAGGAACTAAAATAGAGTAAAGTAGAATAAAAAATAAAATAGAATAGAATAAAATAGGATTGACATAATTAGGATAAATCTAAATGGTACAGCCAATAAGCTGTAACTCAAAACCATGTACAGTCAGTGACAGTAGTGCAAACAATAATAGGTGATTGTCAGATGGTTCAGCATCACCAGGGCGTTGGTGATGAGGTGCAAATAGCATATGAGGTTTACATGGACAGTATTGCAAATGACCACCAGGAGCAGATATCACGGCAAAAAACTGTCAGCAGCAGATTTACCTCTAATATAACAAAAAAGGACAATGTACTGAGTTTGTGCAACAGTAGGGGTAGTCTTTTTATATCTTTTTATGTTCTGTGGTGGGTTACGGTCCAGGGGCAGAGGGGTGGAGGTAGTGAGCAGTGTTCAGCATCCTCACACACACCCCTGTGGAGCCCCTGTGCTCAGCGTGATGGTCTTGGACATGTTGCTGCCGACCCACACATTTTGTGGCCTCCCTGTTAGAAAGGCCAGCACCCAGTTGCAGAGAGAGGTTTTGAGTCCCAAGTGTCCAAGTTTTTGTGTAAGCTGCTGGGGAATTATTGTGTTGAATGCTGAACTGAAGTCTAGGAACAGCATTTGCACGTAAGAGTTCTTTGAATCTAGGTAAGTGAGGGCTGGATGGAGAACAGCAGTAATGGCATCCTCTGTGGACCTGTTTGACCTTTAGATTTTGTACTATTTATCTACCTTTTATTTCATTTTGTATTGTTTGGCATTCATTGTGAACATCAAAATGAGAATTTCATTGTACACGTTTCTTTACTGTGCACATGACAATAAACACTTTGTGTCTTGACTTTTGATTAACGGGATGGTTGTTGAATGTGTCTCCAGCTTCAAATTCCTGGGGACCCACTGTCTTCCTCTATACCACTACACACACCTCACCCCTTCTCATCTCTCCTCCCAGGACTAATGCAGTACACTTCTGTTATCTGTAACACTGAAGTGATCTGTTAATTTGCACATACTGTTATTCATTTGCACATTGTACTGTACATATGGAAATAGTATATATTTATCTTTGCATTATTTACATAGATTCAACTGTTAAGTCATGTAACTTATTTTTTATTCCGCACTATTTCATTCCATTTCATCCCAATGCAATAGTGTTTTATAAGCGTAACATACTTTATCCATTATTTGTAATTTAAATCCATAAAGTCTGTTATATATTATATATTACCTTATATAACTTATCAGAATCAGAATCAGCTTTACTGGCCAGGTGTGTTGGACATACGAGGAATTTGACTGTGGTAAAGCGCCTCTCAATGTGTACATACATGTCAACAAGCAAAGGAATGTGAATTAGGAAAAGAGATAATAAAAATGAGAGTACAGTACTTATAAATATAGACCTGTACACACACACACACACACACACACACACACAGATATATATACAGTCAGGTCCATAAATATTGGGACATCGACACAATTCTAACATTTTTGGCTCTATACACCACCACAATGGATTTGAAATGAAACGAACAAGATGTGCTTTAACTGCAGACTGTCAGCTTTGATTTGAGGGTATTTACATCCAAATCAGGTGAATGGTGTAGGAATTACAACAGTTTGCATATGTGCCTGACTGTATATATATATATATTTATATATACAGTGGGACCTTGGATTGCGAGTAACCCGGTTTGTGAGTGTTTTGCAAGACGAGCAAAAACTTTTGATTTGATATACGAGCGAGGTCTTGCAATACGAGCAGTACATATGCTTTGTCTGCTGAGCGTCACGTGACATATGTCACAACTGAGCCAATGGTTCTCGCACTTCAGTTCTCATATAGTCAATATCTGTATTGCAACAATGGCCCCTCACGCCAGCCACGATTCTTTTCAAAGGTAAGGGGCAGGTTAATTAGTTTTATTTTTACTTTATACTGTATTTGGTATTACTGTAATCATTTTTAGATGGATGAGTGGGTGTGGAATGAATCATCTGAGTTTCCATTATTTCTTATGGGGAAATTCACTTTGATATATGAGCGCTATGGATTACGAGCACATTGCCGGAACGAACTATACTTGAATTCGAGGTTCCACTATAGATAAGTCAAAAACAAAAAAAAGGAAAAGCATGCCATGGGCTCTTTAATTAATCTCTTTTAACAAGGATATATGCCTTTGTAATGCTCTTATATAACAGTGGGGGTATCAGTGATCTGAACAATTACAAGCTAATATCTAAGCTCTCATTTCTGACAAAAATTTCTATCTAACTATCAATTACATGCTTTCGTAGAGTAATACACCTCACTGTGTACAGCCTGTTGGAAGTATCTGATTATTATTAAAGGAAGAAGAAGAATTGAAATTTGTGACTATTTTAGCTCAGAGTGGTGAAATATATTGCAATGTAAAAAATGTAAAATAAAAAAATTAAAATGTAAAAAGTGTTTTAACTGGTTCATAATATCATTTGTCTAGCATGTGTCCATCTGGAGAATCCAAATCTTTCATATCCTGGGGATGATGATGTGTACTGAGATGGTCCTCAGGGTCCCAGTCAGGTTCATCTTCTGATTCTGATGTGGTCCACCACAAGAATGATCAAGGTCATGCCAACTACAGCAGAGATAACCAGTCGCACTGTAACTTCAGACTGACACCAGCTGCTGGATTCTGGTAAATGAGATCAAAAGAGAAAGTATTGTTTGGACTTTTTGATTAGATTAGATTACCAATTTCTAAATAAAGTGAGTTTATTCAGAGATCATGAACATGCTACACAATAAATTGACATTTATAGAACTGAGTGCTGACCACCTGCATGTGAAATCATAATTTAGCTGGGTATTGCACATTATATAATTTTTATAAGAAGCTAGAGATGAGGAACTTTGTGTTTCCATCTTTTAAAACTCATCATACCTCCTGTCTTTAGACATGTGTCCTCTGTATGCAGTGTGGTGGCCTTTTCATCAACAGGGTTTTCAGCCACACAGCTGTAGTTGTCTCCATCATGGGACTCTATCTCCAGAGGAAGCGACAGCCTGAAGGACAGATCAGGACTGCTGATGTTTTTCACTCGGTCTCTCCCTCTGTACCACGCTAGGGTCATCTCTCTGGTGTTTTCTGCAGAGCACTGTAATATGACTGAACTACAGCTCATGTTGACCAAAGATGTGTTGACTGTGATGAACGGAGGGGTGACAGAACCTGAGTGAAAAATGTGACTTCATTAGAAACTCTGAGAGCTTTCAAAGATCCAGTCTTTTAACTGTTGGTAAAAGACTGCCTGCCACCTCACCTTAACCAGCCTCTGCCTGCCACCTTCACCTTGCCTCAGTCTGCCTTTGCCTGCCTCGACCTGCCACCAACAGGAGACCCTACCTGCTACTGCCTGCTCCCCTACAGGGCCTCCGACCTGCCAGTTACCTGCTCCTACCAGTTAACAGGTGCTATGCTTTTGTTTAGTCAATAAACCTTGTATTTCTTGTACTGAGAACTGCCTTCTGTGTCCCTCCTGTCATTAGCTCTAAGAATTTGGACCCAACGGTCATAACAGAGGAGGGGCACTTAACACAAATGGCATAAAAGTGAATTACATTCCCCAGCAAAGCCAAACTACCTGTGTATTGTTGCTTTAAATGGGATTAACTCAGCATTCCCTTAAAGCGCCCATGGTATGCTTTTCCTCATTTTCTGACTTCTCTACAATGTTACAACAGTGAATTATCATCTTAGATGTGACCTAAAGCTCAAAAATTGAGGCGCATATATGTTCTAGTATTTCTATGCAGAAGCAACTTGGTTTATACCAGTCTCAAATGCTCGCTCACGAGACACTTTTTTTTTTTTTTTTTTATCAATGTAAAGTCTTATGTGATAGTTTAAGGATTTCCTTTAATGGTCATAATCTCCAGGCAGTTGTATGTTCATGTGAGCTTGCCTGACTTCCACTGGTGACATTTTAAAAGTATGATTTTTCAACTGTGCACAGTTTTGTGGTTATATTTTCCCTACTGCTGCACTGTGACCAGAGGATGTGGAGAAAAATACTGTGTGTGAGGTTACTGCATGTCCACGCATGTTCCTGTACAGGGACCTGCTGTTTTACCTGACCGGGTCTAACGTGGCATGTATGGAGTGGCTGGAAACCTACAGTCAGACTATTTGGACTTCCAAGATTAAACATTAAATAGCTGGAAATGAGCAGGCCATGGGTACTTTAAGTTAGACTCTTCTAAAGAATATGTGTGGCTGATGTTTTGTGCCTCTATGAGTCCGGTAAGACTTAATTTGTGAATCAGAGTCTTATATGAACTAATGTGAAGAGAATAATACTGCCTTTCCACAAAATCATTCCCAGTTCCAGTGCAAAAGCTGTGTGTGAGTATACTCACTGTAGACACTGAGGTGGAGATTTTGGGACAAAATGTTGGAGCTGATGGACTGCCACATATAAACACCAGAATCAGTCACTCTCAGCTGTGTGATGGTCAGTGCTCCAGTCAGACTGTCCAGCTGCAGTCTGTCTCTGAAGCGCTCAACATAATCACTCCTCGCCTCTCTCTTCTTCACAGTGGCAATACGCATATTTGGGTTTTCAGGTCCAAAAGTCCACACTATTTGAGTGTTAATGTTGTGAATGGTGTCTCTTGTCTGTAGGGTGACAGTTGCTCCCTCTTTGGCTTTAACAGCTTCCTTGTTTTCATCTGCACAAGTACAACACAGCAGAACTGAAAGAGAAGAGATGTGGCTGTGAGATTACTTTGTTCCTGATGAAAGTAAAAGAGTTGACTGAAAGATCACAGCAGGAACATGCTCACAGACAAGCTGTTGAAAACTAAAATACAACTTAAGTTGATCTGTATGTATATCTCAGGTTCACAGTCACATAAGGCAGAACACAACCCTTTCCTCCAATGGCTGTACAGTGAAGATGTCCAAATGTGAAATTCCAAACTTAATCCTCTCGACATAATGACTAAGCTGCCTTACATATAGAAAGAATGTAGTCAGCTCTATTAAATTGTTTAGAAAATGCAGTAAAGGCTCTATTCCATTATAAAGCCTTGTCCGGTTCTTTCAAACCAGGAACTCCGAGGGACGACTCAGACCACTTGAGTATATAAAAAATATAACCGTGCTGGTTTATTCAAAGAGTCACAGGCAAGAACCAACACCTCAAGTCCAGAGATCTTCCAACCCCCAGGCTGCCAAAGCAGCCCGGAAAC